TCTGTACTAGGAGGATGACGGTGTACTGCAGCAGTATATTGAACTACCCTGTATATATACTGTACTCTGTAATAGGAGGATGACAGTGTACTGCAGCAGTATATTGAACTACCCTAGTATATATACTGTTCTGTACTAGGAGGATGACGGTGTACTGCAGCAGTATATTGAACTACCCTGTATATATACTGTTCTGTACTAGGAGGATGACAGTGTACTGCAGCAGTATATTGAACTACCCTGTATATATACTGATCTGTACTAGGAGGATGACGGTGTACTGCAGCAGTACATTGAACTACCCTTCCCACATATTGATGCTGAATTCCTCCAAGTAGAGAGAGAGTACTGTGGTAAACTATTTTAGGGAGATTCAATAAACATGGAGGTAGATATTTTCTTATTCTAGAGTTTTTCAGTATAAGATCTATAATTGCATGTAAAATAATCATTTCATTGAATATAAATTTGGCATGTCTGCCTGTCTGTTTGTTTGTATCCAATAAACGTCAAAACGACTGAACCGATCAGGCCCAAATTTTGTGTGGGACCTCACGTGACCCCTGGGAAGGTTTATGAATGATCAAAATTAAAAAATTTGTGTTTTAAAATTTTTTACTTTTGTAAAATTTTTAAATATCCGCGAATTTTTGCTAAAATCTGCAAATTTTTTTTCTTCTTTGTTTTTAATGTTTACAATGAGAAAATGTTCACAATTGAAATAGAAAATGGGCGCGAAGCGCCCTAAAAGACTAGTTGAATTTATCTTGATATCAAACAAATCATTAACAAGAGATTTTTTCCTTTAACTCTAAAAAATCAGATTTATTGAAGTTTAAATATTTGTTCCAGGTGGATTGAAATCTGCAGCTGGTACAAAATGCATGATCAACGAATGCAAAGAATCTTCTAATCGAAACAACAGCTGTATTTACCACTGTCCACCAATATCTAAAGATAACTACTTAGGAAAGAATTGTCTTCATGTTTTTTTAACATTCTTCATAGAAGACATTGAATATAAAATAAATAATGGTTTCAGTTTAAATTTAAATCTTTGCCACATTTTATTCACTTAAATATTTTCAAGAATTTAAATAGCCCAGGAAACATTTAAAGATATCGGCCAAATAATTCTGGACTTTACATGTTTGACCTCGGCATAGGGCGTCCCTAAAAGTCTGATTGATTGATTGATTGTTTGAAAAGATTATGTTTCTTTTTAATTAAAAAAAATAATTTATGACTTATTAAGTCCCCCAATATTTTAATTGACCCACCTTTTTTCACCCTACATTTTAATTAAGAGTTCTTTTCTACCATGTTTTTGCATGTTTTTGTTCTAAAATACCATGGGTTCTGCAATATAACAGGGAGAGAGGGAGTAGCAGCATGATTGGGTAGTGGGGAAGCCCCCCCCCCCAGGAAATTTGGAACTACATACCCATCTATGGAAAAACTTGGGTCTCAAAATATTTTATTTATTCCCCCCCACCCTGAAAAATTTCGTCAGCTGGGCCTTGTTTTGTGTTTATTATAGGTGTCTTTTATGGGTTCTTTGTTTGTATCTTAATTATCAGACAGTTTTGGTCGCAGCGTTCCCCAACAACCTTCATAGAGTCAACCATTACTTATTCAAAGGAAAACAGACTTTTCAAAAAGGTAGTTTATGACATAAAAAAATTTAGAAAAACTTTTCTTACCATTGAATTAAAAAAATTAGAAGTGGAGGAAAGAAGGAAAATATTTACCCTGAATAATTCTACTATTTTAGATTTTCGTGTTTTAATTGCTGGTGGAGGGACAGGGATGAATACTCTATATATTGCAGAACAGCTTAACCATACAAATGTTAGTTACCCTCTGATAGCAATCATGACATTTAAGTACGGTATACAAGTTGACCTATTTAACCAATCTCAACATAATTGTAAACATGGGGCATTCCAGGACTTTTTAACCTGTAATTTGTTCCATACTGACCAAGACTAATGAGGCTTTTAGTTGTCCAATTTTAGTTTTAGTTAAAACTAATTTGTTTCTTCAGAGTGAAATAGTTTATGTTGACCTAAGTCCCAAATCTACAGATATTGCAAGATTAAGAGCTAAGTACAGGCACCTCAATAATATAAGGTACATCTTACATTTGTAACCTGCCAAATATAAAGCCATTGTTTTTATAAAACTTTGACTATATTAAGGGACGTTTGAACTTTCCCTAAGGCAAATTTCCAAGCAGCAACTTCCCAAGTCTGGCCTAGCCGCAGTCCTTGGTCCCTTAGCCTGTTCTAGCCATTGTGCTTATAGGCCCCCATTGCAGCCTCAGGTGCCTGCTTTACCTCTTTGGGAAGTTGCCGCTTGGGAAATTGTCACTTGGGAAGTCACCCTTGCAAAAATGTCCTTTGGGAAACACCTATTAAGGAACACTGCTTAAATCTCCTGAAATACAACACTCCTGTATGCAATGAGTCCATTAGCGCCTGATCCAATCAGGGTACTTTCATGTGTTTGTTGTCTATCCTGAACCAATAGAAATAGTATGGCGGCAACATCTATCTTTCTATCTATCTCATTATCCAATTAGAGATATGAATCCTTCAATCGGCGCTATCAGTAAATGGAAATATTTACTTCTACTGAAACTAAAGTGACAAAGCTGTTTAGATTCTTCAATGATAAGATAGAGAATATACCAAACCTAAATCTAGGGAAGTTTGACTTCATTGAATCAACAGGTTAAATATAATTTAATACACTTCCGTTTCTTGATACTTTTCAGAATGCTAATAAATACAAAAAATCACAGAACCATTATAAATATTATGTATCTGTGCAACTTCAACAATCATCATGCAGTTTTTGCAGCACCAGAAAGAGTTGTTACATCTGTAACAATCAAAGATAGTAAATGGACACCCCCATAAATGTTTTTTTCCTATATTTTCTGACACCTCTGTATATTTCTTGCCTGTTGTTATAGGGTTAAATTTTATTTTTCATGTCTTTTAGGTGTTATACATCATACAGAAAATCCACTGACCAGTCTCAGGTATTAATTGTTATCTAAATTGTACAAATAATATATAAATCTCTTAATTTTTCAGAGTTTTGAAGGACAGTTTAAAGCCTGAAGGGGGAATGAGTATTTTTGTTTACTCAACAAATAAAAGAAAATATGTTTATCTCATGCAGGTAAAAAATCAACATTGAGAATATTGATTTTTTCCACTTTGATCCTAATAATAATATTCATATCAAAATATTTTGAATATTCTTTTACCTTTATATTGATTTAGACCTTTTTTCAAATAAGGTTCATAATAAAGGTTTTTACCGACTTTTGACCAAAATTACTTACCTATGATTCCCTTATCATAGGGGGTTAAGTTACTTTACTAATAAAGGTTTTTACTGACTTTTGACCAAAATTACTTACCTATGATTCCCTTATCATAGGGGGGTTAAGTTACTTTACATCCCAATTGGGACTATAAAGTAAAATAACCACCCGCTATGCAAAGTTAAAGTGAAAATTGTGTACAACTACTTCTTTTTTGTAAAATTTATGGGTTCCCTTGACCAGTTTTTCTTGGTCTTGGGAACCTTTGGCAAATTAAAGTAAAACGCTCTTAACTTCTTTGTAAAGTAGTTGTAAATAATTATTATTTTTCATTACAATATAGATTGAAGAGTAAAAAAATTGAATTAACCCATTGATTTATTGATTTAGGAGGTTATGAGATTGATGAGAGATGATTCAGACAGCATATTTGATGAAATAGCAAACTTAAAAGAATTAGGAGGCGAGAATCCATCTATTAACTATTGTACACATAAATTTCACTAGAATGGTATTATTCTTTTGGAGTACAGTCCAGTTTTGCCTCAAATAGTCTTCATAATTGTACTGTACTGCTTGCCCTGGCTAGTTAAAATTCGGCCCGGTACATGAAATTAACTGGAATGTACCGTGATGGAGTATGACAAATTTAAACACATTTTCGAAATTGCATGATCTATTTTTCTTCTATTTTTAATGGTAAAAACACAGTTAATCTCTAAGTTCAAAGTAGTTTATTTTTTATTGTCTATTGTTGAATAATACTCAAGAACCCATGTAGAGTTATGATGTGGATGGCTTTCAAGACTTGGACTTGCTGATGATGGTTCTGAAAGACTTTGTGACTGAGAATCTGGCATCAGCATCTCATGGATTCTGCTTTAATTTGTCATAGCTTCTTTTGAAGATATTTAATGTAGTTGACTGTTTTACTTCGTGTGGGAAAGAGTTCCATTTTCTTGGAACTCTAAAGCTGAAGAAATTGTTCCTGATACTGGTTTTGGAGTTTTGTATTTCCAAGTTCAATGGGTCATTAGCCATTCTTTTCACTCTGTTGTGGTGGATCTTTCTAAACCATATTGCAGGGTTGACATCGCTAAATCCATGAATTATTTTAAATGTCTGAATTATGTCGGCCCGCTCACATCTTTCTACATGTGAAAGCAAATTCAGCTCATTCAGTTTTTTCTCATATGTTTTCCCAGTAAGTCCTGATATCATTCGAACAGCTCTTTTCTGAACAAGTTCTAAACAATTTTAGTCAGCCTCTGTCCAGGGTGACCAAGCTGCTGTAAAAAATTCTAGGTGGCACATGGGTTTTATAGAGATTCACAAAAACATAAAGATCTCTGTAATGAAAAGCATGGGAGATGGAACCTAGGATGATACTTGCCTTTATGGCTGCTTCAGAGCACTGGCTTGCTGGTTTTAAGGATTTATTGATTAAAACACCAAGATCTTTTTCTTTGTCTGATTCATTTAATTTGACACCATTTATACTCATGTCCTGGGTTATTTTTTACTAACATTTTGCATTTTGACTCATTGAATTTCATACTCCAGTTATCTGCCCAAGTGTAGACGAAGAGTGAATTCAAACAGTTTTGCAGTACTTCTTTGTCAACGTCTGTATTCATAACCAGCCCAGCTTGGTATCATCTGCAAACTTAATGAGTAGTTACACACTTTTGGTAGATTTCATTTGCTTTAAATTTGTTTTTCTATTATACTTTTAACTCAGTAAAATACTAAACTGAAAGTGTCTATGAATTTAAAGGTTAAAATAGACATTCATCATTTTTTCCTTCTTGATAACAAGTTGACTGATGGATTTACAGAGGTCCTTCCCCATCTGCCCCTGGGAAAACTAATGGAAGGTCCATCTCTTTCTGTAGGTATAGTTCAAACTTTTAATTGTTGAAAAAATAATTAAGTTTTAATTATTTACAACTGCTTTACAGGGAAGTTAAGGAAATTTTCCCAAGACCAGTTTTGTATGCAAAATTGGTCGAGGGAATCCATGGTAAAGTAACATTTTTAGATTCCTGAAAGTAAACTACTTAACGATCTAATTCAGGCATACATATTTAAGTATATTGACATATATAAAAGTAATCTTACTAGTGAGTTGAAATATTTAGACATGGAGGACAATGACGAAAATTTGTATGACATTTTCCTTCACAAGAGGGATACTTCATTCACAGTACCACAGCTTTTCCAGTGGGTTAAAGATGCAGGTGAAGTGTTTGCAACAAAGGTGTCAGAAGGTTCAGAAGGTCTTTTTATTATTATTGTTATATTTGCAAACAACCCATCATTCAATGAAAAAGAGGTCAAAGCTCCTGGCCACTGAAGTGTTTCCATGAACAAAACAGACTGCTTTGTTCTAGAAAGGAGACTTAACCTTGCAGATTGCCCAAAGTAGAGTTATTGCTTAAAATTCCTGAAAGGGCGCAGAACTGAAATTGGAATTGAGTAGACATTTACTTTGTTTCTTTGAAAATAATAAACCTTATTTTGTTTAATTACAATTTAATATATACGCCTTTCCCTAAGCCATAATGATAAAAAATAAATTTAGGATTGATATTTATTGACTGGTCTAATCCATTATCTGCCTGGCTAATAAAGGAAATCTCTGATCCATTCAAGGAGGTAAAGTTACAGTTGGGCCTTTAGAGATTGATTGATTGAAACTGATACTAACTCAGTGTTAATTGACAGTTTGATATGCTTGATAATATAAGGCATGGTGTAATGAATATTCTAGAAAACCCCATATTTATATTATGTTGTACATTATCAATAACCCCACTATGCTTGTAAATAGCTACATAAAATCTGTATTGTGATTAACCTAGCTAACCAAACTATATAAGATCTGTACTGTAATTAATCTAACCATGGTTGTAAATAACGACGCAAAATTTATAATAATGCTCATTAATCTAACCTGTACCATAGAACTCAAAATAAACTTCAGTTGGAATAATACTCTGCTTGATTAAGGTGTGAGAGTAATTTGTTCCTCATTTAGAGAACAAGAGGGGACCTGAGTCACATCTTGAAAGATAGATCTAGGCAAGAAATTGTATCTTTAGAAAGATACAGATAGAGTTGTATCCTGATTGATATTGAATAAGGTATTATTTGAGATTAAGTTATATCTGTGCGATACAGTATTGAGGAATCTCCAGTTCAAGATTAAGTTGTATCTGTGCGATACAGTATTGAGGAATCTCTAGTTCAAGATTAAGTTATATCTGTGCGATTCAGTATTGAGGAATCTCCAGTTCAAGATTAGTGTTGAGGAATCTCCAGTTCAAGATTAAGTCGTATCTATGCTAAACAGTATTGAGGAACCTTGAGTTCTAGATTGTGTTTTATCTTGATAGATACCTGAAAATATGGAAGGTTGTACCTGGTTTGGTATGGATCTAAAACTATTTATTAGAGTAGGGCATTCATTACAAAAGTGGTAGCAGCAGCGAGAATAATGAACCCTAGTTAAATGCCATGGACTCCAAGGAAGAAAAGTACAGTGATTACCTTGTATAACTGTGTCAGAAGAAACAGTAACAGCTTGGACAGTTTTAGATTGTACACTAAAGTAGCTAGTGAAGAATTGGAAATCAGGAGTACCAGATATAGAGGAAAATGGAAACCCTCCACTCTTACAGTTCCAAATAATAATTCAAGAGATGAACCAAATGAAGCTGGAAACGGAAAGATTACGGAAAGAGTTGAAAACATTGGAAAAGATTGGAAAGAGCTTTATTATACAGATTGATAAGAAACAGAATGGTTCAGCTGCTGACTTGTGTCACAGTCCTATAATTGATTTAAATAATGTAGAATAGTTACACTGCTGACTGGTTGATCAGTTGCATAGTTAATTGATATGATGGTTGGATTGCTTACTCGTTGAAGAGATAAAAAATTGTATATGGAATAAAGAATGGTAAGGCTGCTGGCAGTTTCATGATTGATTGATTGATATAATTTAAAATGGATAGGTTGCTGACTGACAACCAGAATTTTATGATTGAATTTGATTGATGTAAACCAAATGGCTAGCTAGTTGAACTGTCAAATAATAAGTTGATATAATGCAGAATGGTTGGGCTGCTGATTGGTTGGTGGAGCAGTTGCAAAATGACGGCCAAGCTGGTTTTAGAGAAATTATAAACAAACTTAGCAGGTACAATTTGATATGTGGTTGATCTTTGCTGAGGTTGGCTGACTCTATGTACAAGAGCATTAATTTTTTTCATAATATATGAAAATTCATTCTCGGTAGGTGAAGTGCTTACTAAGGCTCTTTTGAAATATGTATAATTGTTAACATATGCACAAGGCTTGCCTATCCTTTCACTGATGTATGGAAAACGGCGATTATTCTTCTCTATTACTCTCTTAGCTGTTAAGGCAGATAGTTGTAAAAAAAGGCAGATTTCACACCTGAAACATGGATGATTTAATTACAATGTTTCAGGAGTTATTAAAATGAGGGTATATATATATTTTTTTTAAAAAGCAAGTGACTGAATTTAAGAAAATACAAATGACAAGAGATACAGTTTAAAGTTGCTGGGTGAGCGGGGTGAGGGGGGGGAGTCCAGAGTTCCTCAACGAGTAATCACCGCCACCCAAATGTGTTTTGCGGCAAGCGCGCTCCTCAATTGGTAATCATCGTAAAATTTTGTTTTCTGAAATTTTAATTTAAGGCACTTTTAACACAATTTTCGACATCTACCGGGGTTTTATGGCATCTGTATTGACTTAAACTAAATTTTCAAATTGTTTTCAGATTTGTTTGGTCAACAAAAACTGAGAATCAAGGCACAGTTCATTTTAGCCGAATCTTAGATCCAATTCGCTCATTTAATGACTGCATTTCATGATTGGCGTTAAGATACTAAAAGGTCAGTCTGCCTGTTTACTAAAAATTATCTCATCCACGCAAAGTAATATCCATCTCCATTTAAAAGATATTTTCAAAAAACCTTTACAGTGCTTAGATTTTTGTATTCGCCTACTCGAGTTCAATATCTACAACAAAACTAATTATATGCTTAGAAAGAACATAAAATTTGAAAAATTAGTCTTATCCCACTCCATACTGAAAATGAAGTATTTAGTTCACTAATAATGGGTTAAAGGTTCCTCTCTATATAAGGAGTTTAAAACAATAACATTCAGAGAAAAATGCCTCAAACATTCTTAAAGCGAAACTTGAAACTAAAAAAACGTAATATATTTCTAGGGTTTAGTGTGGCATATTTATAGATTTATTTTCGAAACTAAGGAGCAATAAAGAAAGCTTTAACAATTGTACACCATAGGGCCATTAACAGAGGTCAATATGGTCTTATTTCTAAGAAATAACCGATTTAATGTTACGCTTATTTTGGCTGATTAAAAATTGAGGTGGTGGAGTTTACCAATTGAGGAGCACGCTTGCCGCAAAACACATTTGGGTGGTGGTGATTACTCGTTGAGGAATTCTGGACTCCCCCCCTCGCGAGGTCTATATTTATAAATTAATAAGTTGATAAACTATTGAAATAAAGTTCCGAACATTGTTTGTTAATAATATCATGATTCCGTCTAAAAGAAAGTACCTTACTATTGAGTCTTAACACACAAAAGAGAGGGGTGATTGATTGATGATTAAAACATGATTGTCTTCTGAAAATAGTTGCTTGGTTAAAAAAAAAATATTGTTTTTCCTTGGAATTTTAACTTATTTCACTTCAGCATGTGCTTTGTTTTGATTTACAATCAAGTATTGGAGGAGGGTTTGGTTTTGTGTGTCAAGACTCCGTTGTCAGAGACATCCTTGGAAAACCTGGTAAAGACGACTTTCAAAAGGGTCTGGGAAGTCTAATGATTTTGTTCAACAATAATCAGCATTAACAAATGACAGACTGAAATACATGACAGTCTTCACAAAAACTCCCACAACTCTAAATAGAAAATAGATATACACACCAATTATGCACTACAATAGGTTTCATTCAAATCTAGTACCCCTCAAACCCCTGCAAATGATTTCCCCCTGCTGTGGAGGTAAAAAGTAATTTGTAAACTGTTATAGGGAGGACAAACTGGCAATGGCAGATCTTATGTTCCATTTTAAGCTTACAAATCATCAATTTTATCTCTCTAATTCTCAGGTATAATCTCACTTTTACCAATAATGATATTATAATATAATAACTGTGAGGCTGGAGGAGTTTCGCACAGTCGGCGTAAAACAGGCTCTCTCTATCTTGAATTACTCCTCGACTGCGCGAAACTCCTCAGGGTTATTGTGAACAAGTTTCATCCAAATCTTGAAAAGACAACATCTAGTGTCCTATCTGTTATTTTGATTAGTCTATGACTTAAGTATAACAGTCATTAGACAATAGACAAGCAAAGTACAACACAAACATATGACAGAAAAAAAACATGGGACAAGGGAGATGTTGGCCAGATGAAAAAACATGGGACAAGGGAGATGTTGGCCAGATGAAAAAACATGGGACAAGGGAGATGTTGGCCAGATGAAAAAATCTTACATAAATCAATCTAAAGAATTTACAAAAAAAAAATTTCCTCAGGATTCCAAAGCCAGTCTGGATGACCTGGATCTTATGCCCTACTTTCCTTTTGAAATAAAACACTTAGGTAAGGAAGGATGCGACTTAAATTTAGCTGGAACCAACATTGCAGATTGTAATCTTTATTCTTTGATATATAACTTCTTCCACCTGTCCAGAAGTATCTTTACCAATTATATAAATTCATGAACGTGTCAAGAAGTATCTAATTGATAATTAAACATTTACTGTGAAAATATTACATTTGATGCAAAAAAAACAGGATATCCCCCCTCCGGTCCTTATCTCTTAAGATTTCTAGGTTATTATGAAAGTCTCAATTGTCGTTAATGGCATAGAGAAATAAATACAGTGATATTCAGAACACTTTGGAATAGGAAGTCGACTTTAAATAGTTCCATGAATATCAGGCACAGTAATTGTGCGGTGTATGCAGATCCATTTCACGAAGAGATTTAAAAACTTACTTGTCACTACATCAAATGCACTTCAGTATTGCCTTAATGGCGTCGTCCTATTCTACAGTTTTCTGGATATTACTGTAGTTAATGAATACTTTTAATATTCTTACAGATAAAGTTGTAAATGGATGGTTGAAAGGTGTAGAAAAACCCAAAATGGTGAAAATGGTGCATATTTTAGGTGAGGATTAGGTCAAACATTAATCTATCACTGCTCACAGGAATCGAGTCTTTGCCCCAAATTTTCTTTTCTCTAAATTTTTGCAACCTGTTGGTGTAAACCTTTGACATTTTAAATTTAGAGTAAATATTTGATCTAACAGAAATCTATAGTTGGAAATATCTAAGGTTTACAACATTGTGTTGCAAAGATATAGGGATTAAAAAAATCTGAGTTTGTAAAAAAGAATCGATTTCTTTGATTAGAGATTAAAATTGTAAATTTTTATAAATTTAAAAATGTATCTTTTGATAGTTTTCACCATTTTAAATACCTTAAAGCAATGGCTGCTTCAAATCAAAGAAACTATCGAGAAGATGGCCAATAAAAAGGTTATGAATGAAATTAAAGATTCTAGATATTTTTCTATATTTTAGGACCTCTCTTCGGTCATAGCTTTAGTCTTCCAGACAAAATGAGCCTTCAGACATTTTACAAGCTAATCCCTTTGAAACCGGAGAAAACGTTGAGAGAAGTTTTCAGAGAATTAAAAACCAAAACTGGGAAATCTATAAACAAGTTAAGGGAAGAATTTCAGAACTTTGCCGCACATTTTGAACATTTTCTGGTGCTTGGGAACAAGGATATGGGGAATATGCCTAGAAGCAACATTAACTATGTTTATGATATTGAATATTGATCTTGGGTATGTTTGTTTAGGTCTGCATTGTAAGAAGTAACTTAAACATTTTGTATATAATATGAAAAACCAAAAACATTTTGAAATTACAAACATTTATTTAGTTTAAAAATCTCACACATTTATATATATCTAATATCTTGGGCAGATCGCCTGGTATCCTGAGATTTAATCCAGAGAGTTACCAGAAATGAAGCTGTTTCTTGCAAATCGTCTGATGTGAGTCTTCTCCCTAAGAAGAGATGTGCATCGTTATTTTGAAAGAACAAAATTATCAAAAACAAAAGAATGTTCGTGAAAGAGTGTTGTAAGGAAGAAGAAAAAACAATGAATGAACGAAATGGATCGTTCAAAGAAATATGAACACATTTTTAAACCTGTCCCACGAAACATGACAGCTAAAATGTCTCCTTCATGATGTAATAAGTTGTTTGATACTAAAGAGACAAATAACATCTTTTATAGGACAGTTATATTAAAGTAAAATTGATTTCACTGTAAAATATGTTTAAAAGAAATAAACTGCAAAAAGTCTTTAATATCAAATACAGTACGTGGAAGTTAACATTCAAAACTATTCACCAACTGTCATGTTTCGTGGGACACCCTGTAATTCTTTGTAGGGTTTCCCCCAGAAAACTTACCCTGCTGCCCTTTACCAAGAAAAATTATATTGTATTTAATTTTAACTCTAAAAAATACATTTTCAGGTTAAGGCTGATTGAGGCATCAAAAAATCAAAAAATTGTCGAATAAGTCCATTTGTTATGTTTTATTATTGATTTAATTCTTATACTTTTCAGTCCATGAAGAAAAAAAACCTTCTGATATTTGCCAGCCAACCAACTTTTGCTGCAAAATATGCGACTTTTTAAATTTCGTTATAATTTAAATAATAATTCATTGTGAAATTAATGCTTTTATAAACAAGTTATGGTTTTTAATATGATTTTTGTGTAAATTTTTTACTGAAAGTCTTAGATGCAGATGTTTTCTTGTGTAAAAATTACATTAAAAAAAATAAATATCAAAAGTAACTGTAACATAATTAATTTCTAAAATATTATTAAAAAAGTTAAGATTTTAAGTTTTTAAAAGCGATGGTCACATTATTAAAATTAATTGTGTGTTAGATAGTAAAACCCAACTAAAAATAGCTCAATTCTAGTATAAATTTTCTGGACCTCCCCCAATTGCTAATGAGAAAGATGTATACATGGGTTACCTACAAAAGATGCGACTTATATATAACATAAATTCGATGTTTTTTAAATGATTTTGTTTATGTTTATTTAATGAAAATAAATATATTTACAGGAACCTATGTGTTTTGGAAATTCTATTTTATGTTTCTACCAAATAAACACTTAAAAATTAGAAATGAGTCATTTAAAATAAAGATACAGGGTTACTCACAAAGGATGAGACTTCAAAGACGACCCAAAACTCTGAGAATATGACAATTTGAAGCTTTAATTTTGTGTTCAGCATTCAATTGCGTAAATTGACTGTATACGAAATGGTCTAGCACAGAAATATGCCAGTTTCGGCCTACAATGACCCCTAAATGCAAGAAAACGGACAAAACATATTTCGTACAGTCGTCTTTGAAGTCTCATCCTTTGTGGGTAATCAATACATCTTCAAATGTCGTCTTGAATTATTGCTGAGTTACGGAATAGTTTTGCAGATTTACGGATGAAAGAATAAGTCCAGGTTAATGAAAATGTGCACACGTACAGAAGGGGGTTACCTGAAGTCTACTCGGTCAAGCATAGCATACAGTTCTGAGACAATATCTTATACAATTAAAGTATAAGTAAAGAGTGATCAATTGGGAAGTTAAATCAGTTTTAAGACAGACTTTTTTTTTCCTTTCTTGAGCACTATCAGAGAAGTGTAAAGTTTGTGAAAAAAAAGTGAAAATGAAGATTTCGTGTCTTTTTATTCTTTGTGGTTCTGCTTCTACATATACATCAACTTTGGTAATTATCCTCATAGGTTTCCTCACATCTACTTTACATTATAGTACACAGTAAACTGTACACTTTACATTATAGTATACAGTATACTGTACACTTACATTGTAGTATACAGTCAACTGTACACTTTTCAGTATAATATACAGTAAACTGTACACTTTACATTATAGTATACAGTAAACTGTACACTTCGTATTACAGTATACAGTAAACTGTACACTATACATTATAGTATACAGTCAACTGCAGCACTTTACATTATAGTATACAGTAAACTGTACACTTTACATTATAGTATACAGTAAACTGTACACTATACATTATAGTATACAGTCAACTGCAGCACTTTACATTATAGTATAGAGTAAACTGTACACTTTACATTATAGTATACAGTCAACTGTACACTATACATTATAGTATACAGTCAACTGCAGCACTTTACATTATAGTATACAGTAAACTGTACACTTGACTTAATAGTTTACAATAAACTGCAGCACTTTACATTATATTATACAGTAAACTGTACACTTTACATTATAGAATACAGTAAACTGTACACTTTACATTTTAGAATACAGTAAACTGTACACTTTACATTATAGTATACAGTAAACTGTACACTTTGTATTACAGTTTACAGTAAACTGTACACTTCGTATTATAGTATACAGTAAACTGTACACTTTGTACATTATAGTATACAGTAAACTGTACACTTTGTATTACAGTATACAGTAAACTGTACACTTTGTATTATAATATACAGTAAACTAATAACTTTGTATTATAGAATATGGCAAACTGTACACTTTGTATTACAGTATACAGTAAACTGTACACTTTGTATTATAGTATACAGTAAACTGTGCACTTGTTGACTTTAAAAGTCACTATAGTAAAATAAAGAGATCTAAAATGGATATTTCTAACATTTATTTTAAAAAAACGAGAGTTTTGAAATATTTGCATTTAAGGCGGAGATAAAGTTGGTTGATTTAGAAATTAACAAAGGAATTAATGATGAATATTTGTGGGTACTTCATGGGAGTGATGTAGAGCTTCATGTTGGTGGAGCAGATCAACAGGAACTGGAACAACAGGGCTTATCCAACCTAGTAGGCAGAGATCGCGGCTTTATCATGCTGGATTTGAGCGATTATGTTGTCTCTGGAAGTGGAATGCATGTTAAACTGAGAACCCTCGGGTAAGTCTGTCTGGTGCTAGTTGAGGATCTGCGTCATCATCATAAAGGAGTCAAGAGGCTCCCTGTGTCGGAGCTGTTACTAGCTCAACCTTCCAAACCTGACTGAGCTGGGATGTGTTATAGAGGGGTGAGGCGGGAAACGGATGAGCGGGGTTTGACATGTGGGTGCTACATGGAGGAAATGGATCTTGTGTACACACACATCTTGAGAAAAGGCTACGGCATTTGAGTCGGAAAAATCGTCTTCCTTATATTTTCGAATTTGTGTTAACAACACTTTGTATTATAATATACAGTAAACTAATAACTTTGTATTATAGAATATGGTAAACTGTACACTTTGTATTACAGTATACAGTAAACTGTACACTTTGTATTATAGTATACAATAAACTGCAGCACTTTACATTATAGTATACAGTAAACTGTACACTTTACATTATAGAATACCGTAAACTGTACACTTTAAGTTATAGTATACAGTAAACTCATAACTTTGTATTATAGAATACGGTAAACTGTACACTTTGTATTTCAGTTTACAGTAAACTGTACACTTCGTATTATAGTATACAGTAAACTGTACACTTTGTACATTATAGTGTACAGTAAACTGTACACTTTGTATTACAGTATACAGTAAACTAATAACTTTGTATTATAGAATATGGTAAACTTTACAGTCTACATTATATAATATAGTGAACTTTTCACTATGTATTTGTTTACAGTACAGTACAATCTAATTTTTAGTACATTAAAAACAGTAATCTGTAAATTTAAAAATAGTTTACTGTTAACTGTAAACTACTGAAAATACACCCCCTGCCACTGTATTGTACTGTAAACAGTACACTTTAGACTGTACTTCATGTACGTACTATGTACTAAAGGAGGATGAAGGTGTACTGCAGCAGTACGTTGAACTACCGTTTCCTCATGTTGATCATGGACTGCTCAAGCTAGAGAAAGATTATTATGGTAAGTCCACAATGGTTGGCGTTTTTAAAAACACAATGAAGACGACTTTTCTTCTTTACATTATAAAAGTTTTAATTTTTGAAATTTCCCTTTTTCTCTAGGTGGTGAGATATCTATAGACATTGCTGAATGCAAAATCAACGAATGCAAAGATTTAGAAAAATCTGCGAACCAATCCAAACCAAACCAAACCAACAGCTGTATTTATCATTGCCCACCACTTTCAATAGAAAACTATTTAGGAATAGATTGTCTTAAGTATTTACTTTATTCGTTTATCTACGGCACTATCGACCCTGGGTTAAAAGTTACATGTCATATTTTGAAACGATTCCCTTTAATCGTTTATCATATGTGACCAATGCAGCGGTAAATATTCAAAATTCCCTTTAAACATAGCTAATAATTATAGAAATTGTAGAAAAGTATAAAGTTTGAAAAAAAACAAGAATAACAATAAAATTTGTCTGAAAAAAGTTTACGCAAAAGTTTTCTTTCTTCCAGGGGGTTGGGTTTACCCAATCACTGTATACGCCCCAGACTGGACTTTAAAATTAAAAATTCGATAGACGATTTAATTTGCAGCATTTCCAAACAATCTCCACAACATTAACCATTACTTATTCAAAGGAAAACAGACTTTTCAAAAAGGTAAGTTTATTTTTTTTAATTCAGAAAAACATTTGAAAAAAAATTTAAGTTGAGAAAAGAGGAAAAATGTTAATGTTTACTCTCTAAAAATTCTATATTTTTATTTTAGATTTTCGTGTTTTAATTGCTGGTGGAGGGACAGGGATGAATACTCTTTATATTGCAGAACAGCTTAACCATACAAATGTAAGTAATAAAACCCTTTAGTTTCATTTTTTCCATTTTCATTTTTCAGGTAATTTGCAGTATTTAAATTTCATCTCGGGAAAATACGGCGCCTTGGGCCTTTTTTACGATTTGAGCTTTCAGATTCAAGCTGCATCTTATTTTCCACAGAGTTGAGTTCAAGAAACCGGCTTATTCTCCTATTTGGCGGATTTTCATGGTAGGAATTGGCGCATTCCGGGTTCTTAAGAGAACAAGACTCAACATTGAGCCTTATTCTCCAGTAAACCCAACCAAGGTTGGTTTTATTTTCATTGGGCCTAACTCCGTAAGTCGAGCCGAAGATCTGGCAGCGTCGTCGTCAGAGTTGGGTCGAAGATTGGGTCTTAAAGTCGGGTTTAAGGAATTACGGCTCGAGCCAAAGTTTTTAAATCGCGGGCTCAGTTATGTTTAATATTTGCCATCTATGCAGGTTTATTGCTGACATTGTTGTAATGAGATCTTCCCTTTGTCAGCTGCATTGAGTTACATGTATCAGTGTCTGCAGTAATTTAGAAAGAAAATCTGAGTTAACCCTATTTTACTGAATTGCTATAACTTATGTCAGATAAATGGATGTTTTAATTTTTTTAAACCGATTTTGCAATTTTAGCAAGACACATGTTAAAAAATAGTTAGTAATTTGGTAGTTAAAGAGATTTCAAATGTTAAATTATAAATCATAATTTGCTATTTAAGACAGATAACCCAATATTTCTGAGATTTCCTTTCTAGTAAACAACAGTAAAATGATTCTTAAATACCAAGGAAGTTAGTTAATATTGATCTAACCATGCAATGTCGGACATACACTGATCTTGTTAATCCAGCACAATTAACCTCTTGTTAATCCAGCACAATTAACCTCTTGTTAATCTTGATATATCAGTTAGACACATATTAGGTTGCCTCTTAAAAAGATTGACGGTGCAACTTTAAGTGACCCGCCATTTAAAAAAAAAGTTGGCATGTCCCATTCACACCGGTACCCTTGAACTTTTTTTTCCGATTAATAATGTGGAATAAAAGGTCGTTGTAAAAGCTTGAAAAGAGAAACCACAAAATTGAATAATCAGTTTTCAAAATTGTAAACAAGGATATTTTTTTTATGCTACAATATCATCAGGCAAAGCTTTTAAGGTAGGATTTTGAAGCGGATATAAATGCAGGTGGGTCTCTTGAAATTACGCTTTTAATCCCTTTAAACCGGAATAATATTTGTTACAGAGTGAGATAGTGTACATTGACCTCAGCCCTAAATCTACAGACATAGCACGGTTAAGAGCTGAATATAGGCATCTCAATAATATAAGGTAATAAATACTAAATTTTGAAAAGTAAATTTCTGATTACTTATCAATTCTTTTAAAAATAATTTTTGATGTTTTGGAGAAAAAAATGAATAATTTGACATCGAAAGGCAATTTTTTTTTTACTTTTCAACTAAAAATTCATTCTTACCCCTTAAACATTCCTAATATCTGGGAAAAATATGATTTTTCAGGAGATTATACATGAATGAAAAATGATGTTTAGATTCTTCAATGATAAGATAGAGAATATACCCAACCTAAATCTAGGGAAGTTTGACTTCATTGAATCAACAGGTACAAATCGAAATTAATATTTGATTATTAAAAAGGAAAGGCAGAAATAAGATCAAACAGGTTAGCAGAAAATGGGGGGAGTGGTGTAGTTACATTAAATCCTGGTTTATTGGAAGGAATACACCGACATTAAGGCATCTACTAAGGCCAGTTTTAAAGATTCAAATTGAAATTGAAAAATAGGACAGCACATTAAATTATCCCCATCCATAGTGAGATCAAATTGTAAACAAAATAAACTTTTATTATGAATAATTTTACAATATGTTTAAGGAGTTTTACATCATACAGAGAGTCCACTGTTCAGTCTGAAGTAAGTGCTATAAATTTAAAGCCAAGACCAAATATGTATAGAGGTTTGAAGGATCTTGAAGGAGTTTGAAAGGGGTCTTTAAAAAGTTTGAAGGGTCTTAAAGAGGTTTGAAGGGTCTTGAAGGGGTTTGAAGGGTCTTGAATAGGTTTGAAGGGTCATGAAGGGGTTTGAAGGGGGTCTTGAAAAAGTTTGAAGGGTCTTGAAGGGGTTTGAAGGGTCTTGAAGGGGTTTGAAGGGTCTCGAAGGGGTTTGAAGGGTCTGGAAGGGGGATGAAGGGTCATGAAGGGGTTTGAAGGGTCTTGTAGGGGTTTGAAGGGTCTTGAAGGGGTTTAAAGGGTCATGAAGGGGTTTCAAAGGGTCTTGAAGTAGTTTAAAGGGTCTTGAAGGGGTTTAAAGGGTCTTGAAGGGGTTTAAAGGGTCTTGAAGGGGTTTAAAGGGTCTTGAAGGGGTTTAAAGAGTCTTGAAGGGGTTTAAAGAGTCTTGAAGGATTTTAAAGGGTTTTAATGGATTTTAAAGGGTTTTGAAGGATTTTACAGGGTTTTAAAGGATTTAAAAGGGTTTTAAAGAATTTTAAAGGGTTTAAAAAGATTACCAAAAAAAATTATTTTTGGGATTTTGAAGAATATGAAATTTCATTTGATGAAGAAAAAAAACAATCTTTAATTGTCAATTCAAACTCCTTGTTTTTTAAGGGTTACAAAAGAAATATTTTTGTGGTTTTGAAGTAAACTTTAAAAAAAACAATTTATTGAAGTCCTTTTAAAAACTATTTTTTTCCAGGGTTTTGAAGGATAGTTTAAAACCAGGAGGAGGAATGAGTATATTTGTTTACTCAACAAACACAAGAAAGTATGTTTATCTGATGCAGGTAAAATTGATAAAAAACTAAATTTTAAGAAGTTCAAGGCGCTGTTTAGATGATTTTTACCTATTTTTGAATCGTGTATTAGCTGTAAAAGTCACTCTGCTTCTATTTCAATTTTGAACGTTTTCTCTTTGTATATATTGTAAAACAAAAACAAACAAAAAAGTTAGCGGATTTTATAAAAACATTTCGTGGATTTTCTAAATTTAATGAAAATCGTATTTTGTTGGATGCAAATTTTTGAAATTTTGTTCATCCATAAACCTTTCCTGGGAACACGTGAGGTCCCACACAAAATTTGCGCCCAATTTTGAAATCATTTGTGGCATTTATTTGTCAGCCTAGTTTTTCAAGTTTTAAGTACTCATAACCCTTGCATTTACAAAATATGATTTGCGTTTTGTGCTTTCAAAATTGCTAGAGCTATAAAAATTTTGGGTCAGATTTTAATTATTTAAGTACAACCAAAATTGTCCAAGTCTGAACTAAACTCTTTCTGTCTCTGGTAATTTTGTCGAAATTAAAAATAATTAACTGAAAATCGTAAAATTTTTGGGGAAAAAGATTAACAAATTTATTCCGGTACCATGTAGAGCTTCCTTTAAGGTTAAACAAAGATTAATAATTTTTCATCTATTATTTAACTTTTACACTGTGATAAGAATTATATAAATTAGGAGATTATGAGACTGATATAAGATGAGTCTGATGGTATATTTGATGAATATATTAATCAGGAGATTATGAAACTGATGAATGATGACTCTGATGGTATATTTGATGAATATATTAATTAGGAGATTATGAAACTGATGAATGATGAATCTGATGGTATATTTGATGAATATATTAATCAGGAGATTATGAAACTGATGAAAGATGACTCTGATGGTATATTTGATGAATATATTAATTAGGAGATTATGAGACTGATATAAGATGAGTCTGATGATATATTTGATGAATATATTAATTAGGAGGTTATGAGACTGATGAATGATGACTCTGATGGTATATTTGATGAATATATTAATTAGGAGATTATGAAACTGATGAAAGATGACTCTGATGGTATATTTGATGAACTAAGAAACCTTAAAGAATTGCGAGGAACTTGCCATCAATGATATATAATTATAAATTAATTCTTTATTTGATTAATATGTTGGAGGATACTGTCGTTTTTTAGCTTTAAAAAAGTGTATAGTAATGCTTCTGTATAACGAACAAATCCCTAAATCATTTTTAGTGCCAAATCACAATTGAAATTAACCCATATTTTAAAAAATCATCGAAACCTTATTCTTTCTTGATCAGACTAGGCTCAGTAGGCTTCTAAAGATACTGTTGCGTATCGGACAACAAGCCATTTTAAAAATTGAAAGTCGTTCTAAATTATGTTTACAGTGTTCAAATTTAATGAATTTGAGCCGCGTCTTAAATCTGCCAAAACCGGTTTCAATTTAGCGCCGGCTTAAACCTTAAAACATTGAATACAATTTTAAGTGAAACCATCCATATTTGAGCGGCGGCTTAAATTTAAGCCCCCGCTCAAATTCTTTAAATTCGGCCTCAGTCCCTGTAAAGGAGACAGTTTTGGCGCAATTTCCATTAAAAATTTCTCATTTTCCATTTCTAAATTGAATTTTTAAATTCCAATATTTGTCCCCTGTAACAAGATGAAATCAATGAATTGATGAATGAAGTAGATGTACTTCCTAATATTCCTCTGGGGAAACTGACTAATCAAGGTTCATCATTGCATGGTAGGTCGGGATTCTACAGCAAATACAAATTTAATGTTCTTTAAAGGCAAAACTTGATCATTTACTTGACAACAATAATTCACGCAATACGTGGGATATTTAAATTCAAATATGTGCGCAAAACATTTTAAAGTATTCTTTTGAAAGAAATTTTACAGTTCGCAGAAATACATTCATACAGGGCTACACGGGGCTGGGCACCGTTTCGTTAACGAAACGGAGATTTTTGAAAATTAGCAGAAGAGTCCGTTAACGAACGTCAAAAACTGTTAATTTTTAAATCGTTAACGGAACAAATTAGCCGTTTTTGAAAAAAATTTACGGTTAAAACTGTTAACTGAAAAGCTAAAAATGGTAAAGATTTGATTAAATTTTCATGATTAAAAAAAAAAAAAAAAATTTAACGCGTTTTGATGTTTTAAATGTCGTCTTCTGTGTGTATGAACCTTAAAAGAAATTTTTTTCGCCGTTAATGCTGTTAATACTGTTAATACTGTAATATACCGTGTATGTGTATTCACCCAATGGATGATACTTCAGAGATGACTGTACTGAATTTATCAAGCCTATTTTCTATCATTTTTGATTCCATGTAACGTTAAACTTAATTATATCTTTGCTAAATCATCTGTTTTTCTTATTAAAAACCTTATTTTAGACAAATTACCAGATTAAAAATGGAAATTATCAAATGTAAAGCGGTTTAGGTCGTCTCTGATATTTCATCAGTTCTGGATAACTTTGTACAAAAATTAAAATTTTATAGTTTTTCTCACAGATTTTAGCAAAAAAAAAGCAAAAGATCATGCAAAAGTAATTATTTTTGACTATAGCTGAAGTGCCGGCGTTGCCAAGGTAACTCATAGTTACTCCCACCTTTTACCCGCACTTGGTTTTAAATTCTGATTTTAGCTGAAGTGCCCGGCGTCATCCGTGGAGTTTCTAAAAATTGAATTTTTTTAGCCTCTGTCACCCCTGGTTTCCCTCAATAAAATTGGTCCAGCTGCTAGGCCAGCGAAAAAAGAGCGAAGAGCTTTATAATATTTTAAATAAATTTTAAGACGGAGGAGAAAGTGATGAGAATCTCTACGACCTGTATCTTCATAAGAGAGATGTTTCATTTACTTTGCCTCAGCTACTTGAATGGGTCACGGATGCAGGTCAAATTAAGTTCCTACATGCGATTAGATCATTTAACATTTACAAACTGCAGCACTTACCTAGCATAAATACCTATTTATCATTGGACTCTACAAGTGATATTTTCACGCAACAGTCAAATAGAGGAACACATGTAGTGGAGGGAAAAATGGAGAAACGAAGGAAATGGAGAAAAGAATTTTTGTGTAATTCACGCGATTTTAAACATTTGCCTAATTAACTTGAAGTAAAGAAAATATATTATTTTAGGATTGAATTTGATTGATTGGTCCAACCCTGAGGCTGCATGGAATATAAAAACAGTTGTAAATCCATATTCAGAGGCAAACAAACTAATCTCCCCAAGAAAACATTAAAATAAATATGTACTTTAAAAAAGTTTGTGTGTTTTATATATACTCTATACAGTAATAACCAGAAAACTCTAAAATAGGAAGACTACTTTTAGAATCAAATTAAAATTTTAAAAAGGATACAAAGAGCATGGTACACAGTAATTGTTCAGTGTAAACAGACTCATTTCACTTAATTAGAAATTTTAGAATTGTCTATTAAAACTATATTCGCTTGTAACAACATCAAAATAACTTAAGTATTGCTATAATATCTTCTTTTTATTTTATTCTATTGTTTCCTGGTTAAGACTGTATACTAAAAATTACAAGAACAGCCAGATTGATTATTATTTTTAGAATGATTCTCTGGCAAGTTTTAGAAAGTTAATGAACAAATTGAATAGGTAAATTATTTTTTTTTATTTTGTTACTTTTTTCTTCGGGGTTATTAAATAATTGTTTAAAAACGTTTCATCTGCGGTCCATCCCCTTTAGAATCGAATTTATGCTCTTAAACTGAAAATTAATGAAAAATAAAAACGTCTAATTTGTATCAAACAACGAGGTTATAGTACATAGAGTGATGATTTACGCTAATCCTTTTCTAATTGTACAGGCCATGTACTTCACTTCTGAGAATTTGTTTTCCATGCAACTATTAAAATCCACTACTCCCTTATCGTATGCAGGATTGCATTTTTACAGGAAGACGTACATTTACAGTCTTTTACAGAGCAATATTTCATCGTTAATGAACTGTTCTGAGAAAACTGAGTAAAGTTCAAGATACAAAACCTCCCCATACACTTGTACTGTATATTTGATATTTGTACTGAATGAATAGGCCATAATCTCTTAACATCCTTTATCAGTAAACTATCCCAAGTGTAAACTCAGACCAATACACACTGAGAGGTAGCTAAGATCCAGCCCCCCTGGTGCAATTAAATGAATCCTAATTTTTTCTATGATACTACACTCTCAGTTCAACTTACCTTGCCGGTCACTTCCTTTAAAGATATTATAACACTGTGTTGGTGTGCAAAAAATTTTATTTATTTTTTTCCGCGGGCAATGCAGGGCCCTTCAGCTAGTATGTAATAAAAACATTTTGTGAGAATTTTCGAATAAGCTAAGTGTGATGAATTGATAAGCAACATTTTTGGAGAAGTTAGCTAATCCAAACTGAGTTTGGAATTAATAAATAAGAAGAATATAAGAAGTAATTGAACTAAGTACGTTGTTCAACTACTTTTCTAGGATTGCTGGGAGTTTAATTTAGAAAAGTATTTGTTCTGACTTAGTTCAACAACTTCTCACTATTCATTAAATTCAATCTCAGGCTAATTGTATATTTTATGAAATACAGGGTTACCCACAAAGGATGAGACTGCAAAGACGACGACCTGAAACTCATAAAAAGTTAAATTAAGTCTTCTGTCTTGAATATAGTATTTTAAAGGCCAAATAAATGATTTGGCAAATACAGAAATAAATTTACAATTTCTTGAAATCATGAATATAAGAAAACAGACAGTATAAATTCCGTACAGTCGTCCCTAGAGTCTCATCCTTTGAAGGTAACCCTGTATACAAGGTTACATATGTTTACAGCGATGATAAACGAGCAGTTGCAGATCTTATGCTTTCATTACCAAACCATCAGTTTTACCTTTCAACAGACCAGGTAGTATTGTGCAATAAGTTGCAGATCTTATGCTTTCATTACCAAACCATCAGTTTTACCTTTCAACAGATCAGGTAGTAGTGTGCAATCTAGGGCTACGCGTGTTCCTGCTTTTTTGTTCGTTCATTCCGTTCCGTTCGTTTTGTTCTGTTCTGTTTGTTTTGCTCTGTTTGTTCTGTTTGTTCCGTTCCGTTTGTTCTGTTCCCTTCATTCCGTTCCGTTCCGTTAATTCCGTTCCGTTCCGTTTGTTCCGTTCTGTTCCGTTCTGTTTGTTCCATTCCGTTTGTTCTGTTCCGTTTGTTCCGTTCCATTTGTTACGTTCTGTTCTGTTTGTTCCGTTCCGTTCCGTTCCGTTCCGTGCGTTCCATTCCGTTTGTTCCATTCCGTTTGTTTCGTTCCGTTTGTTCCCGTCAAAGAACAGTTGTTCCAAAGTAACGACGCCCAGACCTACAGATATCTCAACATCTCTGGAAGTTACTCATTTAAATTTTCAAACATTTTACTTATACTTTTGCTTACCCCTCTGATACATTTTAAAAATTCAACGGCTTTGTTTCCAGTTAAAATTTAAAGGCGTAATTGGCAAAATGCTGTTTGATTTTTGCGTCAAAGTGTGAACATCCAGGTTTACAGTTTTGGTTCGTAATTTGCCTATTTTTTCTCTTAGAGTCAAAATTTGACAAAGTGTAGGAATAAAAGGAATTGAGTCTTTGCCACAAACTCTGGTTTTTAAATCCCTATATCTTAACAACCCAATGTTGCAGACCTTAGATATTTCAAACTTTGACTTCTGTTATATAAAATAATGAAAGTTTGAAATACCTAAGGTTTACATAATTTGGTTCAAGATATATAGGGATTGGAAAATTGGGATTTGTTGCAAAGACTCAATTCCTTTGTTCTTAAAATTTAAAAAAATCCAACGCGATCGTGTTAAACCAAACAATTTTTAGGTTTGTTTTTCCTTTTTTAGTATAAAATACATTTCAAAGTTTGATAAAAGCAAACGTTAACAGAATGCAGTTTTGAAATGTTTTTAAAATTCATATTTTAATTTAGTCCGTGTTTAAAATTAACAAGATTATCACCTATATATATCTAAAATAGAATAATTCTAGAATGCTAAAGCAAGTCCGAACAATTTGGATTTGATGCCATACTTTCCTTTTCCAATCAAGAATCTAGGTAAAGTATTGACTGTATTGGCACAATTGTTTTAGTTGAAATTTGGAATTAAGCTTGAAACTTTTGTGCTGGATACTTATAATCTCAATTGCTTGATCTTATATCCACTGTGCTGGATACTTCTAGTCTCAATTGCTTGATCTTATATCCACTGTGCTGGATACTTATAATCTCAATTGCTTGATCTTATATCCACTGTGCTGGATACTTCTAATCTCAATAGCTTGATCTTATATCCACTGTGGGGAATTTATATTTAAGGACTAATGGTTAGTCCTTTCATTTTTGTCCTCTGAACAAAATTCATTTAAATCCCATGACTGAGTATGATTTTCCTGGGGCATATGGAATAAAGATAAAATTAATCTGCAGATTAACATAAGATCGAGATCAAGAATTGATCTCGATATCCACAATACAGCTCCTAGTTAAACCAAGAACAGGGGGTCAAGTTGAGATGGACCATGAACAGTAACTGAACCAGCCGTACTTACATGGTTACATGTAGGCTAAAACGGGTTTATTTCCGTATAACCATTAAATTACAAAATTGAATGCAGAAACAAAAGTAAAGCTTGAAATCGTATTTTTGGGTCGTCTTTACAGTCTCATCCGTTGTGGGTGAACCTGTAACTTTAACTACCTTTCATTAATTCTCATTTCTGATCATAATAACTTTCTATTATAAAAACAACCATTAATCAAATAGATGAAATGTTTTCATAAGATATCAATGATGAATATATCTTTTTTAGTTTTTTTTAAGATTTGGCTGTCAAATTGGACGAGCAATCTTTAAAGGGACTTATAGACATTGTTTGATATGACCCAATTGAAGTAAAAATGGGCTTCTCCAATTCACAACAATACCCTATACAATATTATTCGATCCCTTGCATGAACTCTTATTGTTGTTTCAATATTTGATTATTTAAAATTTCTTTTTTAAAAACGAGTTGTGGATTTATGCCACAGAGACAGAGAAGGAAGTTATCAGAATGTAACCCTTTTTAAGATGAAAAAATCCTTCATTATCTTCATTAGTGTGACTTGTTTTCAGGATTTTGTTGTGAATCAGATAGATGAAGGGTACATTAATTAATAACGTCTACAGTTCCATAAATTAAATAATTTTAGACAAAGTAGTTCGGAGCCAATTAAGCGGTCAACATATTTCAAAGCATTTGGAGATGAAGCATGTTTTAGGTAAAATAGCGTCTAAGAAGAATTGAGTTTTTGCCACATAACTATGATTTTTTAATCTCTTTATCTTTGCAACCCGAAGTCGTATAGACCTTTGATATTACAAACTATAAATTATATGCGATCAAAAAGTCTCAGTTTGAAATATCAAAGGTTTACACCACCAGGTTTCAAAGACGTGGGTTTTAGAAAAAAAAATTTATTTTTATTTTTTATTTTTATTATTTATAACAAATATTAAAAAAATTAACAAATCCATGTTTTAGAGTTTTATACTGGAAGAATCTCTCAGCATGGTTTCAGTCTTCCAGATAACCCCAGTCTAAAGAAGTTTTTGAAGCGGATTCAAAGAAAACCGATGAAAACGCTTCGGGAAATATTTTTAGAACTAGGAACCCAAACTGGACGCCCTGTCGACCAGTTCCAGAAAGAGTTCCAGAACTTTGCTGCACATTTTGAGCACTTTTTGCTGTTAGGGAACACGGAAATGGGGAATTTACCAAGAAGTGATATTGATCATGTTTTTGAAATTGATATCACAAAAACAGGGATAGTATAATGGCATTTATGTGTGAAAATAGGTTCTTTGAGTTTTAACTGATTATCTAATAAATATAAAAATCAAAACCATTAATTATTCTATACTTTTGACTACAACTTGTCATACTTAAATTCTTATAAAAACAAAGCTTTATTTAAAAAAAAATCATAACATGATAAAACTTGTGATAAATATGATATAAATATTATTTGAAAAAATATATAATGTTAATTTTATATTACACTAACTCATTGTTTAAAATGCCTGCAACGCAAGCAGTTAGCAAACAAGCAGCTGTACCCGAGATAAACGCTCTAAATGCAACTTTAGAAAAATCTGATTTTCTATCTGGTGCTATTGAAGATAGTGTAGCCAGTTGAACTCCAATACTGCCCGGATTGGCGAATCCACAAAGAGCATATGTTGCTATGAGGATTGACCGCTGTGATAGCTCGCCATTTTCAATAAGAACTCCAAGTTGCTGATAAGCTATAAACTCATTAAGAATGGTTTTAACGCCAATAAGTCTTGCCACTTTCTCACAGTCTTTCCACTCTACCCCCATCACAAATGTGAGAGGCATAAACAGTTTTCCAAGAATTAGATCAAATGTTATATAATCGAATCCTACAAGGGCTCCCAGGAATCCGACAACACTGTTAATAAATGCCATGAATGCTATAAACGCTACAACAATTGCGGTAACATGAACCACCAAGATGCCTGCAGAGGATGCACCTTGTGTTGCAGCATCTAGTAAGTTTGCTTCTATTGGAGGCTCAATAGAGATATTTTCTGCCGTAGTTTTAGATTTCTCTGTTTCTGGGTAAAATAACTTAGAGAAGGCAAGAGCAGCAGGCGCTGACATTACAGAGGCAGAAACTAAAACAAAAACAACGATTAATCTTAGAACTGTAAAAAATAAATCTTAGAAGCTAGGGCTGGGCAAATTTTTTAGTTTTGAAAACTCTGTATTCTGAGTTTATTAACGATTGTTTATAAGAAGTAGGGTTTTTTTCCAGACCAGCCTTTTCCAAAGGAATTGAGTCAATTCGCCACAACTTTGATTTTCCAATTAGATTTCGAATATATATGAATTCTGCTAGATCACAAAATCTTATCTTGAAGTATTCAGGTTGCAAAGACATGTGAATTAGAAAATTTGAGTTTGTAGCAAAGACTCAATTCCTTTGCATTCCATTTTTGATTAATTGTCAATTTTCTGAACGGTATGGTTGATATTATTTGGAAATCATGTTTGTTTGTTGATCATAAAAAATACCGCTAAATAAATGCGTTTCAAATCTAAACTGAGCTGGGAACTTTTGAATAATGGAAATCCGGATTAATGCTTAATCCACTCTTTTTCTAAATCTTGGATTAAATAATGCTTGTTCTCCTCATGTTATTAATCTCCAGATTAATTAACCGATAGGGATTAAGGATATTCCATTCTAAAGTTTTCAGCTCTGAATGCATTTGTGTACAGCAGATCTGAAAAAATCAATTATGATTAAATGAGGAGGGAGGTATATACACTAAATAAGGTGTAAAATGTAAACCTTTCTCCATTCTCATTGGTATTGTTGTTAGTTTAGCTAATTCGTTTTTACTTTACATATTTTTGGCTCTATATTTTGTTTTGTTTAATCCTCAGGATTGGGATTTGTAGCAATAAAAGAACGTGAAAACTTTTTATAAATAAAGTATCAAATGAATTTGATATTTTTCTTTATAATACTACACTCTCAGTACAGCAACCATACCTAGGTATTCACTGCCTTTAAGTTCAAAATTATTGAACAAGAATGGAAACTCTACATATAGAAGTCTTTAAATCTTTGAATGATATATATATATATTTACCAAGATGAGCTGCAGACACTCCAAAACTAACATAAGCTGCTAAAACTGTTCCTGCAATGGTTGCGAACCCCCCAGTCATCACAGCATGAAGTTCAGATAAGGTCATCTCCGAAATATAAGGTTTTATAAGGAACGGAGCAGTTGCTTGACCCATAAATATATTGGCGGCAGCATTTACAGATTCACAAGCTGTAGTTCCAACCGAGACTTGAAGAAGCCATCCGATCTTGATAACAAGGCATTGCAGGTAACCCAGGTAGTACAGCATGGATACAAGAAAACTGAACAGATATATTCAAAAATTAGAAAGTAGGTATTATAGATAAAATCTATTTAAATAAACGGAAATAAAATAATCTTTTAAAGGGACTGTAAGCGTAATTTTAAGTGACCCTTCATGCAAAGATGCAATACATGATTTACAACAGTTCCCTTGAAACCTTAGGTATCAAAACTGTGAAAGTTAATGTCCATTTGCCAACTTAAATGAAAATAAACAGATTAAACAAAAATATGCATATTAAATTCATACTTGATCAACAAGATTTGTAAGGGTACTGTTGTGAGTCAGGCTTTGCCATCTTTGCATGGAGGTCACTTGAAATAATTCTTACAGTACCTTTAAATCTTGAAAGATAAATACCTGAAAAAATAAACAGTTGAGAGAGTTTTAAAGACAACAATTGTAGACACAGAATGTGCAGCGTTAATTTCTTCAGCAATCTTCTTTGCTAGGGAGTTATTACCTAGCTTGTCTGGAAGAAACGGTTTCTGATCCACTAAATATCCGAATACAAATGAAGAGCCGGCATCAGTGTATCCCAGGAAGGTATCAAACTTTGATCCAACACAGTCAAATAAAACTCTACCATATTCCCATCTCATGATAATCAAACCAAATATAAACTGGAGGCACATGCCCCACAGGACATGCCTCCAAACTATTTTGCTCCGGGATTTAGAAAAGATAAATCCAAGAAGAAGTATGAAGAATAAACCTCCACCAGAAACTAATCTGTAATTTTCAAATTATGCTTTCCTTGCAAATTGAGCCTAAATGGCTACATCCCAAATATAATTGATTGATACAAAGTAACTGTGGAAGTATTTTGCACTAGAGGCAGAATTTAAATAATCTGAGCCACAGCTTAAATTTGAGACGCAGCTTAAATATTATTGGTTCGACTTAAAATTGTATTTAATGTTTCAAGATTTAAGCCGGCGCTCAATTAAAACCGTTTTTTGCGGATTTGAGACGCGCCTTAAATTCATTAAATTCATACTCAGGTCATGTTTTTAAAGCATGGAAGAACAATAGGTTTACAGCAGAATAGAAAAATTAAATTACGAAAATTTCACATCATAGATATTTGATGGTGATATAAATAGTTTTCATGCATAAATTATGCACTTTGGAAAGTTTTTATCTTTTAATAGTAAAGCAAAATTTTCCTGTATCGGTCGTTAGCAGTGTCAAATACAAGGAAAACAATAATACTCAGCGGAACTAATGCTGTGGCACTGTTTCTAACCATTCTACCTTGACAAATCCTCTTAATCTTTCTTGGAATCTTGATCTTCAAGTCTGACTTGATAATTTGAGGTTTGAATATCTTGAAGTAGAAGAACAGTATGTAGACCCAGGATGTGAGAAGGATAAGGAATCCAAGTCCTCCACACCAGTCCATGTCTTTCTCATTTTCTATGTTAAAATGAATCGCATATCCCAGATAGGAATTATATCCGATAAACAAGATCACTTTGACAAATATGTTTGTCAGGGTTTTCATGGATGATTTGTTAAACATGCTTTTAACATTTGTATCACTGGCAACAGCAGAACTTTGGTTATTTAGAGAATTATCAGACTTTGCATCTGGCGCTCTTGGCATACTGTATACTGTATACTTGTATTTTACTTCAAACTTCCGGGACCGATTTTAATGAATTTGATCTACATCACTGATACTGTAAACTCTGGTTCACTTCAAATACCAGGTCGAATTTTCACCAGCTAGAGTAAGCAGTACAGTACAATTACTGACGTGACATTACAGGCGAACCGAGACAGTACGCCAAATGAATAAGACCCTTCTATGGAAATTCTAGTGAGGAACCACCTACTGCTGGTTAAAATTTGAACCACTGATTCAAATTGTTAAAGATTAAGACATTCAGAATGGATTTGAATCGGTGATTCAAATCAAATTCATTAACTTAGGTCCCTGATTAGAAAAATATTTAGAAACTTCCACTTGACCCGGTTGAACTGATGAGAAAACTTTGCCTTATCTTTCTCACCAAGATAAATTTGGAAATATAAACGTTTTTTGTTTGATCAATGAAAATTACTAAATCTGCATAATATAAACTTATAAAAGTGCAAACTGCAATTGTTCTGACTGCACTAATCTCTAACCCTGAAGCTGTCTCAGCATTTCAATACAGAATATTCATGTTTAAATAATACTAGCTAATCACTGTACCTAAATCTAAAACAATTTTTTATTTCAAATTTGTAAACTTTGATAAAAATAAAATTTTCTTTGAAAATTAAGCTTTAAGATTAAACTTCTTATTGCCTATTTAATACTTTCATAGTAAACTGAGATATCATAATCCTAGGCAAGCAACTGCAGTATATTCTTGAAAAATATTTTTCCATCCCTCCTTTCCCCCCCCCCCCCCTGCAAGGTTAAATATGTTTGTTGACCATCACCCCTTAAAATTTTTCTGGCTTGAAAAGTGTTTAATTCTGATAATTTCTCCAGTCTTTCTTAGAAGCAAGAAACGCGCAAATGACTTTTGCAGAGAAATCACAAATCAAAATAAAAAGTTTTATAAAACAAAACATGGAGTTCTAATTTATACTTGACCAAGCAAATCTTTTAAGGGTACCATAGTAAATTGGCCATTGCCATCTTTGCATAGAGGGTCACTTTAAATATGCTTACAGTCTGTGACATTAAAGAATTTGGTTTTAGGGTTCCCTGAATATTTATTATGGGTCTGACTCTGGAACTTTATAATTCTAATTTTACGTAACGAAAATAATTGTCTAGGATTTATTTATAGAAAAATTTCTTACTTAAGTTGTGGGGTGCATATCAAGTTAAATATTGATCAGATGGGTAGGCAGGACATTGGCATGAGAGGGATGAAAGAGGATAGGAGTTGGATTCTATCGAGGGGGTTGTGTCAGACTGGAAATTTTAACGCTCTGTCCGTCCTTCTCTCTTCTTCCAGCCCAGTATGAGTCTAGATATCGTACTTTTAGCTCCGGGTTGTATACTTAGAACTGCTAGATGAGACTTTGTATTTTCTTAAACCTTTTAAGGACCCCTATAGTTTCTGTGTTCTTTTAAATAAAAAAAGGGAGGGCTCAAATCATAAGTTAAACACAATTCTAAATAACATCTTAATTAATTACATGTTATCTCAAAACAAACAGTTCACATTATTTATAACATGGTATGTTTAGTTAAAAGAGAAATGAGTCTGAATAGAGGAGAAGGATAATCAAAGGACAATAATTAAGGATAGATGTCCACAAGGATGAATCGTGAAGATCCAAAGAAACTATTAAATCAGGAATGGAAAATACGAGAAAAGAGGAATGGAGGATTAAGTAAAGAAGAATGGAAGAAGGAGTAAAGAGGAATTTGTTCTAAACATGCAATCCTACATTAGATCTTAAACTAAATATACTTCTCACTAATTCCTTCTTATCTTATTTTTTAAGGTGAGATAGGAAGAAAAGATGTTTGTGTGAGTGTTTAGTGTGTGTCTGTGTGCTTTTATTGAACCTAGAATCGAGGGAGCTTGGTGCCTCTCAAGAATCAATATCTCATTTTCTTTATTTGATTGGAATTGAAGATTCCCTTAAAAACTATAGAAATTAACAGAAACTTGTAAAGACGACATTTTCTACAATTTAAAAAGTACTAGTCCCTTCAGCTCCAAAAAATAATGTTTTGATGCATTATAGTGAAAGAAAATTACATAATTGTCTTGCAAAATTCTTCTTTGAGTTATGAATTAAACCAAATCTGACCATTGCTACATCAGACAATATTCTTTTTCAATGCAGCATTGTCATTTGTCACTATGATTAATATCAAAAATGATTCTGGTACTATATAAGGTACAGATATTTTCAATTATTACTTTCAAGCATACTATTGCTATCTTGAATCTAAAATATATGTCAAATAATTCTAGCACTTTCCAGTAAAATTAATCAAAAATATATTTAAAACAGTGTAGATACATACCTAATTAGTCTTTCCTTATGTAAATTAAATATAGTCTTTATCTTTTGCACCTCTTGAACCTATACTAATGTTAATTTAGATTAATGTTCAATAGTCTTTATCTTTTGCACCTCTTGAACCTATACTAATGTTTGCCTTTATGCAAATATAAATACTTTAAAACAGTATTCAACAGAAAGTTGTTATTAGAGGCAATGTCCAATTCATTAGTAATAGTGTTAATAACGATAGCTTTACTGCTGAAGTTCCTACAAACCTGGATGCAAGGACCTAAGTGTTTATCCAAAAGAAGGCTTGGTGGTAAGGTTGTTGTTATAACTGGAGCAAACACTGGTATTGGAAAGGAGTGTGCTAAGGAGCTGAGTAGAAGAGGTGCTAAAGTAATCATGTTGGTTCGGAGCTTGGCAAGAGGAGAAGCCGCAGCTAGAGAAATAAGAGGGGAAGGAGGAGAGATTATTGTGGAAAAGATGGACCTCAGCAGCTTTAACAGTATTAGAGAATGTGCATCAAAATTAAATGTAATACTGGATAAAATTGATATTCTCCTCAATAATGCTGGAGTAATGGCATGCCCTCTATCAAGAACAGAAGACGGACTTGAGATGCAGATAGGAACAAATCATTTTGGGCATTTTCTACTTACCAATCTATTACTTCCTTTACTAAAGAAAGGTGGGCCAGGAACCCGGGTTGTGACGGTTAGCTCGGTTGGCCATACTCGAGGAAAAATTCATTGGGAAGACATGAATTTTGACAAGAATTTGGTTAAATATGGTCGTTTGCGAGCCTACAGACAATCAAAGGTGGCAAACATTCTGTTTTCTAATGAGCTTGCACGTAGAGTAGTAGATTTTGGTATTCACACCTTCTCCCTTCATCCTGGAGCCATAAATACAGACCTTTTAAGGCATCTGTCTGAGAAACTAGGCGTGGCGGTAACTGCCTCTTTTTCTTGGTTCATTCGACCATTTCTTAAGGTGTTTATAGAAAATATTTTTCCTTTGTAAATTAACAGAAATAAGTTAAAATATATGTCAACATATTGCAGACTGTTGAAAGTGGAGCTCAAACCAGTCTTTACTGCTGTATAGATGAAACTATAGCAAATCATACTGGGAGATACTATAGTGATTGCAGGTAGCAAAGGGCAATAGCTAAATTTTTTTACAGAAACTTTTAATATTTTTAAACTCTTAACCCTATCCCTGCTGGGGTACTTGAAAACCAGGATATGTCCCCCCCCAGCAGGAATAGGGTTAAAAGGTTCTACGACAATCTGAGAAGGGTCTAATGATTTTGAATTGTACCATCTAGAAGTTTTCTTGGATCAAAGATATAAAAATTTGTTATCCTAGGTGAGAGTATACGGCAAAAACCAACCAAAATATATTGTTTCAAAAACACAAAAACAATTGTTTCAAAACAATTGTTTTTCTTAGAATAAAGTTTTAAAATGTTGGAACCTTTTCATCTTGTTGTAAAACCTTTTAAAAGTCTCAAAACATGTAAAGTTTATGTAAAACGAATCTGGCTTATGCCCAGCTCTATTATATGTTAATTTTTTTTTACAAAATACATATTTTTTTGTTTCTGTCTTGTAACTCAACGCTGCCTGCGCGGAACTTCTTTGTGCTTCTGCCTCAGGGTTTTTGAGAACGCAAAACCCCTAAATCTTGAAAAGACAACATCTAGTGTTTGATCTGTTATTTTAATTAATCTATGTTTTGTACCTTATACTTAATTTGGGTTAATTTAAAAATTTTAGAATAAGACTTGCAAGATTTCAAAACTGCATTTTGTTAAAGTTTGCAAAATTGATCGCTAACACAGGTTCGGGTTTTTATGTTTTTGATTTGTTATTTTGGAAGTTTTTCCTGTCATGGTAGAATTTTTCCATAATGCAATATAGCAAATTTTAACCTTGAAAAAAATAAAGGAAAAGTTAAAACCAAAATCAAACAAACCTATTTGCATATCACTTATTTCATCCAATGGAAACAACAAATTTAAAGGGAGTGTTCGCGAAAAATGAAAGGGGGTATAGACTTAATGCGATAAAAAAGCGCTTTTGATCGCTACTAATCTTACTTCTATCTGTTGCGTCTATAAGGAGAAAATTGATAAAGACGTCACATACCGAAGAGCGTAGCGCCCATACAAATTGAGGAAGTTGGAACATATGACTTGGATCGTAAAAAATCAAATTAATATCAAACAAATCATTCAGATATTACAACCTATAGTCATCGATTATCTTTCGCCACATTTATATATAGTTGATTTTTCATAATATGTTTTAATTGTTATGATCTGAGAGTTACTTATAAAAACTTTATTCCTGTTTCGAGGATTTTTGGTAATGAAGACGACATTTTCCTATTTTCCAGGAATGTTCGAAAACAAGTTGTAAGCTAAATATTATTTTAAAAAATAAAATAAAATCATATTATGAAATATAAAATATATACAAATGTGGCGAAAGATAATAGATGACCATAGGTTGTAATATCTGAATGATTTGTTTGATATTAATTTGATTTTTTTACGGTCTAAGTCGTATGTTCCAACTTCCTCAATTTGTTTTGGCGCTACGCTCTTCGGTATGTGACGTCTTTATCAATTTTCTCCTTATAGACGCAAAAGCTAGAAGTAAGATTAGTAGCGATCAAAAGCGCTTTTTTATCGCATTAAGTCTATACCCCCTTTCATTTTTCGCGAACACTCCCTTTAAAGGGACTGTAAAGGAAAAATGAAAGGGGGTATAGGCTGAAAGCTATTCACTTTAGCTCTGGATCGCGACCCATGAAAGTTATATCTGATGTTCCTATCTCGAGAAATTGATATACAACTTTGTCAAATTTATACGAAAATTAATATATATACAATTTTGTATAAAAGTAGTGGGTTTAGATTCAAATTCAGCAAGTAAGCAACCAATCTGAAAACGATGATATCCAGAGCAAGCTAATTGTAATTTACGTTTACTCCAATTCTAATTTTTGTTATTTCTATTTTTAATAGATTTTATTCATAATATTATTTATAAGTCCCTATTACTTGACCAGAAATTCCAGCAATGGCAGTGCAGTAAAGTGGTCACGTGATACAGGCGGAGACACGTGACCAGTATACTGCTCTGCCATTGGTGATAGTTTTGGTCACGTGATTTAAGTTTCAGATTTTCAAAATTTTAAATCTATGAACTTTCGTATGATTTTGACACAGTTTTATATCAATTTCTCGAGACAGGAACATCAGATAAAACTTTCATGGATCGCGAACAAGAGCTAAAGTGAATAGCTTTCAGCCTATACCGCCTTTCATTTTTCCTTTACAGTCCCTTTAATTATAGTCTTTGATCACTTTGCTTAGGGAGATATCCGCTGCTCTTCAGGCTACAGGAGAAGAAGATGGAAGAAGACTTTGGGAAATTAGTGAGCAAGTGACTGGGTTGAAGCAAAGACATTAATTCAGCTGGGTACTCAATTTAAAGAGAGAAGTCTGCATTTTGTTTTTTAATGGTGTACGATGAAACAATGACGACCTGAAACCTAACAGTCATAATTAGATCATAACTCCTTTTGAGCATGTACCAAGAAATATGTCTATGTAATAAAACAAGACATTCGTATATATCACGCACCTCTGCCCTTTCAGTAAAAGTAAATTCAACCTAAATGAGTTATAAATTCTGACGGCGTCAACTCTGTTGCACCAGCTAGACCTGCCCATAGAGCTAGGTACAGTACAAACTGGGACCGGAAAGGTTGACCCGGAAATTCAAATGTACTACGGCTGCCCGTGATATATATGTTGCGTATAGCTGGCCAAACTGCTGGACCGATTGGACTGAATTTTTTTGTGAACACTCGTGGGATGCCAGGGTGGCATAGGCTAAAATATTTTTTTTTTCACGGGCAACGCCAGGCCCTTCAGCTAGTTTTAAATAATTTGAATTTTTATCCTTTATTTATCTAAATAAAAAATACAATACCTAAAGTATATTTTAGAATCTCTAGCATATCTTAAATCCACTGTGTGTTTTTTCATAAAAAAGGTAATTTATTGGTATAAACTTAATTCTATTAATTATCTAGATTTATTTTGCTCATTTATAGAAACCATGCAGGTTAATATAGTTCAGTCCTTACTCTTTATCCCAGCAAACTGTAACTTTTGATCGCGATTTTAAACATGATTTATTGCCTTTTCTCTATTTTACTTGATTGTCGCCATATAAATGCGTCAAAAAATAAAAAAAATATAAAAGACAACAAGTTTGAAGATACAGGGTGTTCCACGAAACATGACAGTAGCAAGAAGACTTAAAAGCCGTCTGTGGCATTAAATTAATTTGTGGCATTGAGTGGTCAACCTACTTTAACAAATTAACATGATTCTTGAAACAAAACCCACAAAACTGACATTTTCAAAATGTGGTCTGTTTTTTTTGTGATGTCGATATTACCGGAGATATTAAGAATTTCGTTCAGCTTTCAATTCCAACGGAACTAACTTGTTTATAAATCTGAACGAAGTTTTTCTTATTTCCGGTAATAAATAATTCAAAGCACAAAAAATGCAGATCTCATTTTGCAAATGCCAAGATTATGGGCCTTTTGTGATTATTAACTCTAGAATTTTACTTTTAAGATAAGTTTTACGAATAATTGTCGCAAGCTAATGTTTTGTGTGACACCAGCTGCGGTCGAATTATAGACCATTAAAACACCTGAATTAAAATTTACAGTAGAAGAAACCGAAGTTCCCTGGTTAGTCCAGGGTGAATAAGGGTACAACCTGTACCCTGTGGATGAAAGATTACAGAAATTAAAAACTGTTAATTGCAAGAGGTAGTTTAAGTGTTGCTATATCGTTTACACTAATTCCGATTGAACTAACGTACTTTTGCACTAAAGTCAGCTGCAATCAGTAACCGGTTTTTAGTACGATGTAACATTAGTGCAAATGAACAAAAATCTGGTTTTCTGTGTTCAATTGGACTAAAATTTTATTTTCCCGCCAGGAATATTTTAGTACAAATGATCAATAGTGCAATTGATCTGGAATACAAAAAATATTTGTTCAAGCGCACTAATTTTTTTTCTGTAAATATTATATAGTGCAATTCAGCGTTAGTGTAAATGAACATTTTTAACAACAAAATTTGTTCAAACGGACTAATTTTTTTTCTGTAAATATATGGTGATGGTAAAATTTTAGATTTTAGTTCGATTGAACATTTATTTGTTCATCATTTACACTAATTATATGTTCATTTGTACCAAAAATATTTTATGGGCAAATGGTAAAATTTTAGATTTTTGTTCGATTGAACATTTTTTTGTTCATTTGCACTAAAATAGTACTAAATAGTACTAACAACAATTTTACCGGAACTAATTTAACTTTCGTTCAATCGAACATTTTTTGTTCATTCCCACGTTATACACATGAACTAATTAAGTAAATGATTAAAATACCGCTGGAATTTTAAAAAATAGTTCAGCGTACATGCTCAAAAAATCTTCTACGTGGTTTTAGTTTGATTGAACAATTAGTTGTTCAGTCGCACTAATTACGTCTGTCCGAAGTCCGAATGAACGTTAGTGCGAATGTACGCTAGTCCGATCAATCACTCTGTGCAAACGATAGTAGGGTTTCCAACGTAATAGATTATTCTCTTACGCGTAATTACGTGCAGTTACGCGTAATAATTTTCATTTCGTGTAATTTCGCAGGATTACGCGTAATTGGGGAAATATCCATTTCGCGAAATTACGGCGTAATTTCGCGTAATTTCTACAACGTAATTTCGCGAAATTTCGTAATGATTATGCGTAATAAGCGAAACTATAATTACGCGTAATTACGGCGTAATTACGGCGTAATTACGGCGTAATTTCTACAATGTAAGTTCGCGAAATTTCGTAATGATTACGCGTAATAAGGGAAACTATAATTACGCGTAATTACGGCATAATTTCGTCTAATTTCTACGAGGTAATTTCGCGAAATTTTGTATTAATTAGCGAAACTTCTATTTCGCGAAATTACGCCGTAATTTCGCGTAATTTCTACAAAGTAATTTTGCAATAATTACATCTATGAAATTTTGAAGTTTTAACTTTTAATTTAAATAAAACAACTAACCTTCAAGGAAAATAATGTCACGCAAGTTGAATCAGAAATATGTTGATGTAATTTTCACGTTCGACAACTAAAAATCTCAATGAATAATAATTGTCTTAAAACATTTTTTTTTAAAAAGTGAATATGTGCAAATTTTCTTTTTTCCATCTGATAATCTGAGTTCGTTTCCTTTATGCCCATTTGACAGCCCAAATTTTTATTTTGAATAATCTTTTTTTTGTTTATTTTCTTGTGATTTTTAACAAACATTTTTTTATATTTTTTATCGATTTTGATGGTTATTATATCGTTACAACTGACGAGGGTCAACCCAGACCGAAATATATTTTCAATAAATGTGGAACTAACATATATTTTTTTACTCTACAGAGGTTTAAGGTCCATCACCATCACCGTATTTTAAATGAAAAGTTAATTAATTTTTAATTTTATCAAAAAAATACAAAATCTAAAAATTTTCAATTTTCGACGACTTGTTAATATTTCAACCTACTTTCTCAAGTATACCTTAATCTTGTTTGAAAAAAATGTCAATAAAATCGTCAAAATATGTAGCGGGCATATCCTTACACATATTTTCCCGCTATTATTTCTGAGAATTAAGATGTACTTTATTTATTACGGAATTGTTTCGTACATTACGTAATTTCGCGTAATTACGCATTAATTACGCGAAACTAGACTTTCTTTCGTAAACGTAATAAGCGCGTAATTACGCGTAATGCTTCTGCGTAAGTGAAAGAAAGTGTTACGCGTAATTATGCGTAACTTATAATTACGACTGGAAACCCATAACGATAAGACACCATTTAACTTTACGCGATCTGTGCACCCGCAGGAGTAGCACTTTTCCGAGGGGTGCACAAATAGTTTGACAATGCGGGNGGCTAGCCTCCCGTGCTATTTTTTGTTCTAAAAGGAATGGTGTCTTTCAAAGGTTTAGAGACAAAAAACAGAACTTTCAAATGTTCTTTACTCTTGAGTTTAAGATTTGAAAAGTGTGAAAGCTCTGAGTTCTAGGGCGGGGGGCACTGCCCCCATTTCCCCCTGTAAACGCCCTTGGTTCACTCATATGCAACGGTTTAACTAAAAAAATAAAGAAGGGCCATTAACGTTTTATTTGAAGTACGTAGAAAGAAAAACGGTGGTGTATTTTTCGACCTACACATATCCGCCATATATATACTCCACTTCTGACCTACACCAAATCCGCTATACTACACATCCGACCTACTAGCACGTGGTATTACAGCTGCTATATGGACTTGTGGCCGCAGCGCCCGGCCCCCTAGCCTGTCCTAGCCGCAGCGCTCTGCCCCCTAGCCTGTCCTTGCCGCAGCGCTCGGCCCAGAAATTGTCTTAACCTAACCTAACCCTCAAATAATACTAAAAGAAACAGCTGGTGTGGGTCCGATATTGCAGTAGGTCGGAAAGTTAGTAGGTCAGAAGTTCAGTAGGGGGGATGTTGCGTATAGACGATGTAACATTACCAGAAAAACGTCTTAAAACGTCGTCTTTTTTGTCGTATCGATCGGAATGATGGTAAAGTTCGCCTTATGCTATTTTTAAATATTAAGATTCTACAACAAATAAAGTTGTTCATTGATTTGTTTTAATCTTTATGATTGGTTAATTTGAAGTAATGAAAGTTTAAAAGTAGTAACAGCTGCAGTTGGTCTAATTGCGAAGTTTACGCGGGGTCAAAATGTTCATTCAAGGTCCGTACACTGTGTTTATCTATCTATCCCAATGTAAACACAATTTAGATCTCGTAGACTCGTTGAATCAGACACAGAGTTCCTTCTAGAACCGACAGAAGCTAAAATTATCCACTTTTCCTAAAACCCGGGTAAACATGTGGTTTTTCAGTTCTCTTGCTTTCTTTTTTATTTCTGTTCTTGCTGTCTTAATAGGTAAAATATATAGTTTAAAACAAACAAACAATTTGTTTTTACACTTTTTAAGTTTCATGGCTACGTGAATACCTGTTTATTACTCATAACTATATTTTTATAAAGATTATAATCATTTAAGGGACTGCACCACCGTATTTTATACAAGTATTAAATAAATTTATATACTTTTAATCATTTTCTTCTCTTATTGAAGAGCTTGGGTCCGTCCGTCGATTTTGGACCCCCCACCACCTGCCCCCGTCCCCTCCTCCTATCAATTTTGTACATGACCACTTTTCACAATTTTCAATAAAAATTTGTATTTATTTTAGGTTAGGTTAGGTTAAGACACTTTCTGGACCGAGCGCTGCGGCTAGAACAGGCTAGGGGGCCGAACGCAGCGGCTAGGACAGGATAGGGGGCCAAGCGCCACAGCTAGGACAGGCTAGGGGGCCGGACGCTGCGGCCACATGGTCAATTATATCCATGTCTTACATATAATATTTGTATATATACAGGGTTAGGTTAGGTTAAGACACTTTCTGGGCCGAGTGCTGCGGCTAGAACAGGCTAGGGGGGCGAGCGCAGCGGCGAGGACAGGATAGGGGACCGAGCGCCACATCTAGGACAGGCTAGGGGGCCGGACGCTGCGGCCACATGGTCAATTATATCCATGTCTAATATATAAGATCCATGTACAAAATTGATAGGAGTCGTATATTATGAAATTACCAAGAGCTTTAGAAAATAATA